TTGGAGACAGAGTTTCACTGTTGTTGCCCAGGCTGGAGTGCAGCAGTGCAGTCTCTGCTCACTGCAACCTCTGCCTCCCAGGCTCGAGCAATTCTTCTGCCTCAGCTTCCTGAGTAGCACCACCATGCCCAGCTATTTTTGTATTTTTAGTAGAGACAGGGTTTCACCATGTTGGCCAGGCTGGTCTCAAACTCCTAACCTCAGGTGATCCACCTACCTCAGCCTCCCAAAGTGCTGGGATTAAAGGCGTGAGCCACAGCACCTGGCTCTATTTTCAAATCTATAAAATCAGGATGAATCTTTTTTCTTATTTTTTGCCCGTTTTTCTTTCTTTTACTTTTTTTCTGTTTTTCAGGATGAATCTTAACAATAGATGATGTATTAGTTTAATTAGCAGCATTTTTTTCCTTTCAGTGAACCATAAACTATGATGCATCTTACCTTTGGTGGATTCTTAGATTTGATGAAATATGGTAGATAGTATTTAAAGCCATGTGACTGGATGAGCTCACAAAGCGTTATAAGTGTTGATAGAGTAAAAAAAAGGACCATCTTTTGAGCCCTGGGGCACCCCAGAGTTCAGAAGTTAGGAAGAAACAGAAAAACCAGCTGGGCATGGTGACTCACACCTGTAATCCCAGCACTTTGGGAGGCTGAGGTGGGTGGATCACTTGAGGCCAAGAGTTTGAGATCAGCCTGGCCAACATGGTGAAACCCCATCCCTACTAAAAATAGGAAAAAAATAGCTAGGCATGGTGGCACACGCCTGTAGTCCTAGCTACTTGGGAGGGTAAGGCAGGAGAATCACTTGAACCCAGGAGGCAGAGGTTGCAGTGAGCCAAGAAAACACCACTGGACTCCATCGTGGGTGACAGAGCACAACTCCATCTCAGAAAAAAAAAAAAAAGGAAAGGAAGAAATAGAAGAGCCAAAAGAAGAGATGGAAAAGCAGTAGCCAGTGTGAGATGAAGAAAATCAAGTGCATGGTATTCTGAGAGGCAAGTAAAGAAAGTCTGTCAAGATAGAAAGGGTCATCAGCTGTGTCAGATACTTCTTATGGGTCATAAAAAATGAGGGCTGAGAATTTATCTTTGGATTTAGCAACATGGAGGTCACTGGTGATCTAGACAGAGTCTTTTTTATGAGATGGTGAGGGTGAAAGCTTATTTGGAGTTGGTTTAAGAGAGAATTGGACATAACAAATATAGATAGCTCTTTTGAGGTATTTGCTACAGAGAGAAACAGAGCAGGGGCAAGGGCCAGGGTCAGTAGCTAGCTGGAAGAAGTAAGGTCAAGAAGGTGTTTTTTAGATGGAAGAAGTCGCAGTATATTTTTATACTGGTGGGAATGTTCCAGTAGAGAGAAAAATGGATAATGTAGGCGAGAGCGAGGAAAATGACTGAGGTGAAACACGAGGTAAGCAAGAGACAAT